TTCTCTTGAGATATTTGAAATGTCTTCTCCAGGTTTACCCTTCATTTTTAAATTTGTATGTCAGAAGTTGTTCATTTTCAGGTCTTAAACCATCAGTTTCCTACCTTTTGAGTTATGTAGGTAGTCTTTTTGAAGAAGTCCTTTGTTGTTCCATAGAAATATTCAGTTAAGTATTTATCCATATTTTTCACATTTAACATTTTAAATATCTGGAGTTTTTAATATGTGTGATGAATATATTATAAAAATTGAGGTGCACTTTTCTATTTTATACTAATGCAGTTTTTGGGCTCTTTATTAAGTGATACTAATGAGAATAGAACTTATAGATCAATTTATATAAAATTGAAGTCTTCACAAGCTTAAATTTTCCCATTCATGTGCCTTGGAATATCTTTTCATTACTTTTAGGGTTTGGTTAGGATACACTCAAGTAATCAAACCAGTCAGATTTAAAAATTGGCAAGCCATAAAAAATTCACTTGGTTACTGTAATAAAATATTTCTAGTGATGAAAAGAATTAAACCTTAGAGTCAGCTGTATTGATGGATTCTGTAGATTACTTACAGAGAAGTGAAATAATCACATTAGCCCTGTTAAGATGTATTTTTTAAACATTTATGTATTTTTTATAATATTACCAACATTAGCTGGATTTCAGGTGGTTTCTCAGTTCAACTCATTTTTTTTTCACTTGCTGTTTTACCATTGAAACGTGTTACCATTGAAACATGTTAAATGAGCAGTTTTACTGAAAATAATTGCAATTTAGTTGACTACTAATAGGATTTTTATTTTAGGTAATATTCAAAAGGCTAGCTTTATACTTTTTAGAGCTTTACTTTATGTTAGTACTTATTGCTAGGTGCATTGATGAAAAATCAGTCATTTGAAGGTACTGAAATGGTGATATATTTTCAAATGCAAACAAAAGATTACACAGTGGCTTCAGTTTTAGTAACTCTTCGGGAATCTGAAATTTCTTTTCATGGACAAAGCATTGAGAAACAATTAAGGAAGAAGGGATCTTGGACTGCAATTTTTTCCTATTTTAATATAATGAAGTCCGATTTGTCAATACCCTTCACCCAAACCACGGGAACAGACTTAGAATAAGTTGGCTTAATTATTTCTTGGATGGAGAGAGAACATTGCAGTTTGTCACTGCATGTCCTATTATAGGATTTTCACATGGCTGATGTAGGGGAGTGTCAGAGGAAGCACGGGGTCCCTGTAGATTGGATGCTGGGGCAGCTGTGTGATTGGATGAAGAGGTTCTTCATTTAGCAAAAGAGGCAGGCATTGGGAATTTTGTGAGTTACACAATGACTTTCCTTGGTTGTGTTTAAACCAATTTGCGAAGTGCTCTTGCTTTGTTTTGTTTTATCGTAGTCTCTGAGTAATATTTTCTGAAGCTGGAATTCTGTGATTGTGTATGTACAGTAAGCACTGGTGGTGAGTGGCAGATTATCTCTGAAGGGCTGATCTTTCTTCATCTATAAGCAATTAAATTTCTCCAGAAAAATACATGCTTAATTGGGGATATTCTTTTTCTTTCCAAGACATCAATAGCAATGACTTAATAATAAAACTGTGAGAGATTTCTATTTGGGGGAAAAAAAAAAAAAGAAAGGAGAACTTTAGTTTCACATTGTGGCTGCCAGAGTCAACCTTGGCAATGATTTTTAATTTCTAAGTTATTTTTCCACTGTAACCATCTCCCCTGTTGCCCATCTTGTTGGAAACTACCCTAATCTTGCCCACTGAAGTACTGGAGTTACTTCTGACTGGTTTCTGGATTGTTAATTTTGTTCCCTTTCAATGACGACCTCCTCCACAAAAGGATCAAGAGGGCTCCTTTGAAAATGTGAATCATATCACAAAACTCTCGTGATGAAAATCCCCTCCAAGACTGCGAAAAAATAACTCAGACTTCACACTGTGGCCTACAAGACCCTGTGTGATTGTATCCCTGCCGGGTTCTGTGACTTCATCTTGACTTTCCCTTTCATTTTGCAGCTACTCACCTGGCTGGCCTTCTTGTTCCTGGAAAATTACACGTTGATTTTTGCTTTTGATCCATTGCTCTGTTTGTCTTGCCTAGAATCTGCAATATTTGTAAGGCTCTTTGTTCTCTAGTTTTTCGAGTTCACAGCTGTTTTTCGATTTCTGTGGTTATCAATTAGTATCAGTCATCTCCACATCATGTCACTTCATTTTGTATTTGTGTTACTTAACGTCATCTGAAATTAAATCATTTTTTTTTTTTTTTTATTGTATGGATCCTACCTTCCCCAGTGAATCTGTCTTCACTTCCTCACTTCTAGGCCTAAGCTCCCCATGGACAAGAACTTGACTGTTTGGTCAATGTTGACTGCCCAGCCCATGGTAACATTCTTGGCACAGAATTGCTTCACAAACACTTGTTTAATGAATGAATACATTTGTTAATGAGTAAATGAGAAAACAAACCAAAGTGGGAACATGTATTCTGGATATAGCTCTGTATGCTTTGACCATGAACAGGAGTAGCACTTGTTTAATTTTTAGTTAAGATATAAGTACCTAAAAGAGACTAATTTGTTTGTTTGCTAATATGCCTTCAAGTATTCAAATGAAGTTAGTCCTGGTTATAATTTTTTTTTTTTGAGCTTCTGTGTTCTAAGACTGTGGTTTCTATGGAATACCCTTCTAATGATGTTTTCCTTGTGCTTAAGTGATTATTTGGATGTGTTTCTCTGGAGGGATTCCAATGTAAATATATTCTCATTTGCTAATCCCACAATCAAAGCAGAACTTTGGGGGATATGAGGTAAGCCAAAAAGTAGTCTGAGTTAGAACTTTCTGTAGAGACATACTTTACTAATTTGAAAGACGAGGTTGGTAGACACAAAATACATGCAATGGTATGCTTATTAAGTTTGAAGACCATTATAATTTATTTTTCTCTTTGCTTTTCCTCTTCGTTTTCAGTTCTTGGCTCCATAGTTCAATTTGACCATAGTCTAAACAAACCAGTTTATCTTTCCATTTAAAGATAGCATTTTCTATAGACCCACATGCCCAACCCTAATTCATAATGTGTGAGTGTTGGTTTGCAGTGAAAGATGAAACATGGTATGCTAATGTTAGATGGAGGGTAGAAAACGTTTGGAAGTAGCAAGCTTTGGATTATATACTTTATAATATACTTTAGTATATTGACTTGGTAAGTTCTCTACTGTCGAGTCTATTTCCTTTCCCACAGATGGACATAATATTTATATACATGTCTGCTGAGTGAGAGCTCAGCAAGATGATACATGGCAAATGTGTGGTGTGGGGGGGGCACTATTGGGTGTTGGGTAATGATGACTTCAATGCCTGCCTTCTATTTTCCAACAGAGCAAAGAAGGTATATGGCTTCCCAAATATGAAGTATGGGTATGCTTTATAGATAAAAATAAGGATATACAGTGCATTGTACTGGTGTTTAGTATTATTTATATGCCATGTTTATTATAAATTTCAAAGAGGATTAACTATAATACTAATGAAAAAGCAACTATTAAATATTTACGTATCAGACATTGTCCTAAAAATCCTACTCTATTTAATCCTCATCAAAAAAGAGACTTTAATTGTTTCCCTATTATACTGATTATCAATTAGAATCACAGAACTTTTAAATCACTTACAGGCACACAGGAAAATCTGAAGTAGAAAGATTCTGTACTTTTTTTATGAACTAAAAATTTATTCCTCAACATCCCCTTCATTCTTCAGGTATAGTAAGTAACTATCCAAATAAATACATGTCAGTACACCTGACTCTTCTCAGCCCCTTGTTCCTGCTGGTGGGACTGTGGTTTCAGGACTCTACTCTATTTCCGTCCCAGGAGAAAAGAAGACAGGATAAGGAGTTACTTTAAAAAAAATTTATTATTTGAAATTTAGAGCTACAGAGAGGCAGAGAGAGAGAGAGAGAGAGAGAGAGAGAGAGAGAGAAAGGCCTTCCATCTGATGGTTCACTCCCCAGATGGCTGCCACGGCTGGAGCTGCACCATTCCGAAGCCAGGAGCTTCCTCTGGGTCTCCTCTGCAGTTGCAGGTGCCCAAGGACTTGGGCCATCTTCTACTGCTTTCTTTCCCAGGCCACAGCAGAGAGCTAGATTAGAAATGGAGCAGCGTGTCTCAAATCAGCACCCATATGGGATGTTGGCACTGCAGGCAGTGGCTTTAACCGCTATACCACAATGCTGGCCCCCAAGGAGTTACTTTTGAAAGCGTGCTATGTGGGCAGTTATTTAAGCCATGTTGAGAAGTCCCATTTATTTAAGAAGAAACTAAAGGGTGTACAGAAATACATAATTTTCAACGCAATTATGTGTAAGGATCCTGAATTTTATAGTAGTGAATTTATTAGCAAGAAGGGCTTAAGGGAACATTATATCTGAACATGAACATACCAGATACATTTAACTGTGTTAAGAAGGATAATGTTTTATTGATATCTTCTGATACCTATTGAGCCTCTTGATAGCTTTGATCTTGTTCAGTTTTCTTTTTCTTTCTTCTTTTTTTTTTTTCATTTCCAGATCTTCTATGTCATTTATCAGTTCATACTTGAATGAAATCTTTGTTTATTTAAAGATAATTTCTTAGAGTTTCTGGTCCATTAAGTATACAGTAACTTCAGAGCAGTAAGACCCCTGGTGAAATTTGAAAGAGCATGAAGTCTTTGTGTGTGATTTAAGATAACATTGTTCTTGGCCTTATGATGAACTGTGTATGTATATCAGCTTTGAGACATAATAATTGCTTCAGTTGTTTTTAAGACTTTGATTGTATTTAATCTCCTGGTTTGATGAAATGTTCGTGTAGAAATGAAATAAATTTTCCTTCTTCAAAATGTTTTATGAAGGTTTTTCTCTCCCCATGGTACTTCCTGATGGCCTGATATTATGTCATGTGTAATTGGATTGATGCTCTGCCTGAATACTTCTTTTTCTTCTTGACAGCATGGGGTAACCTTGGAAATGTTCTGAAGAGTCAGAGCAAAATTTCTGAAGCTGAAAGCGCCTATAGAAATGCTTTGTACTACCGCAGCAACATGGCTGACATGCTTTATAATTTGTGAGTACGCCTTGCTTTCCCTGGTTCAGTTCATCTTGGAAACCTGCAGTGAGAGGTACTATTGATTTAACTGCTGGAAATGGAGATGATGATAGCTGTTTTTCTGAAACAGTCTTTTCATCAATCATGCTCCTGAAACTCGTAGGTGGATGGTGTTTGTGATTCCTTTGTTTTTGACTACATCATCAATATTCCTGTGTATTGATGGATATGGCTGAAGTTTTTTGAGTATGCCATATTATAACAAAGTTGGTTTAAATACTTTTTGGTCTCTAAGGAGTTTATTCCCTTTGTAATGAGAGAAAACAAGCCCGTATGTATGATACTCAAACAACAGATACTTTCATGATTAATAGTGATAGATTTTGTCCTCATTAAAAAATTGCTTTTTTCAAAATATATAGAGAGTGTGTGCTAAAGCAGGGCTGTTCATGAATAAAATGCTAGTGATGTTGCTGCTGCTACTGCTGCTTCCTCCTCTGCAAGGTTTGGGTGGTGGAATGATGCAGAAGATCCATCTGTGTTGGGTTGGAAAAATCCCTGGAGTCAACACTGGTTCTATTCTTTGAATGCAGAGTCCTCAGGAGTGTTGTGAGGTTTGAGCTGGTACATTCAAGCTAAACTCATAGCTTTCCTTTGTCTCTTGAATTTGTGAGAATTTTTTGTTTGTAATAGAAATAGAAATCTAGTTGAAACTTGCTTAACCACAAGAGAATTTATTTCCTGCCGTAACTGGAAGTTCTGGGGTTGACTGGATGCAAGCGCAGTTGGGTGCAGGTTCTGGGGCTCCAGGAATTGGTCTCCATCTTGTAGTCTTGTTTCCTCAGGGTTTGTTCCATTTTCTATGGGACTTTGTCTGTAACAATGAGAAAAATGACTCTGGCAGGATATAGAACTTCTTGTCTTGTTCTCTATATGAATCCTGGAATGAATATTCTGAGTGTCCTCATGTGATCATGGGTTCTCTCTTGGTTGAAACACAGGATAGAGACCCACAGTGAGACACTTCCGTTTACAGTGCTTCTGGAGTTGAGATGGAGTGGAGGGAGGCTTGTTCCCTGTTAAAAGATGACCAGCTAGGGCCAGTGCTTTGACACAAGGTTCAGCCTACAGTGCACAGCATCCCACATGGGCGCTGGTTCCACTCCTGGCCACTCCCCTTGCAATCCAGCTCCTGGGAAGGCAGTGGAGAATGGCCCAAGTGCTTGGGCCCCTGAACCCACATGGAAGACCTGGTGCAAGCTCCTGGCTCCTGGCTTCGACCTGGCCCAATCCTGGCCTTTGCAGCCATTTGGGGAGTGAACCAGCAAATGGAAGGCTTGTCTCTCTCTCTCACTATCCCTTCTCTCTGTAATTATGCCTTCCAAATAAATAAAATCAATCTTTCAAAAAGACCAGGGAAGGCACATTTAGCTAACAGTTCCGATGCCTACATTTATACCTGACTGGGTTTGATTCCCTGCTGTACCTCCTGACTCCAGCTTCCTGCTGATACAGACCCTGAGAGATAGCAGTGATGGTTCACTTAATTGGCTTCTGGTCACCCACATGGGAGCTCTAGTTGTGATCCCAGTTGCTGGCTCCAACCTAACCCACTATAGGCATTTGGAGAGTGAACAAGTACACAGTAGCTTGCTGTCACTGTATCTCAGAAAAAGTAAAAAGAAGAAGAAATAGGAAAAATAAAAGGGCTACCATCCTCAGGCAGAAATAAAATGCCTACTCCTAGAAATGTGTAGTAATTTTAACAGTACCAAACTAATTTTGTAATCTTTCATAATTCTTCATAAGTACATATGCTCTGGATACTTAACTCTTTTGACTGGATTAGTCCAAATGGGTAGATATTTTTTACGTTAGGCAAAAAAAATTTCTTATCCATACAGAACTTGTCTTTTTTTTTTTTTTTAAAGATTCATTTATTTGAAAGAGTTACACAGAGAGAAGGAGACACACACACACACACATACACAGAGAGAGAGAGAGAGAGGTCTTCCATCCACTGGTTCACTTCCCAATTTGCCACAACTGCTGGAGCTGCGCTGATCTGAAGCCAGGAGCCAGGAGCTTCTTCCGGGTCTCCCATGCAGGTACAGGGCCCCAAGGACTCGGGCCGCCTTCTACTGCTTTCCCAGGCCATAGGAGAGAGTTGGATCAGAAATGGAGCCGCCAGTACTTGAACTGGCGCCCATATGGGATGCCAGCACTGCAGGTGGTGGTTTTACTAGCTAAGCCGCCACAGCACTAGCCCCAAGACCTTGTCTTTAACAGAGTCCTAGACTTAGGTCACTAACTACTTTAGGTTGGTTTGCATAGTGTTTCATTTTTTTGTTTTTACCTGCAATTCCTACACATGGAACATAGCCTCTCTGGTTTATACCTTTCCTTCTATCCATTCTCTGTCATGTTTCATGCCGCACAACAATTACTAGCATCAACTCTCCTGAAATAATTTGAATTTGTATCTTTTCTCTTTCTTGACTGAAACTAATTTTCTGTCAATGTCAAGTCCTCTTTATCTGAACAATATTATGTTACTGTATTACTGAGTAATGAATCTTGTCAGTTTAATCAATTTTCTTGCATAACCTTTTTTTTTTTTTTGCTCTGAAAGTGATAAAGTGATATTTATGGAGCCCTTTGCCTACACTTTGTGATACCAGTTTTATTCTGAGGCCCATTTTCTGTTATTTTTGGTGGAAGAATGTAAGCTGAACACCCAACACCTCTTCAGTGAAATTGGTTTTTTTGTCTCCTATCTGCAGCTATTGGTTAAAAAATTGGTTACCTCTTGGCATTATCTTCTGGGCAGGTATTCAAAGGGAAAGGAAATGTATTTATCCAGGCTTATTCTTTTCTGAGATCAGAAGTTTACTCAGACAATTCCATTTTCTGTGTAACTTAAAAACTACATCTTCTAACTCTATGGATGTGTGTAATAACTTTGAAAGCTGGTGGGTAGAACTCTTCAATACCTAGTGAAAATCCTTGCTGGAGAAGTGGTTACTAACAATATCCATTTTCCTCCCTAATTGTAGACAATGGAATATATCATAAATGTCATACACTTCTCCCCAAAATCTTTTAATATTATCATGTTTTTAAAAAAATATTTGAGAGGTAGAGTTATAGAGAGGGGCACACAGAGAGAGAGGGTCTTCCATCCATTGATTCACTTTCCAAATGGCCACAATGGCCAGAGCTGGGCCAATCTGAAGCCAAGAACTAGGAGCTTCTTCCTGGTGCAGGGGCCCAAGCACTTGGGCCATCCTCCACTGCTATCCCAGGCCATAGCAGAGAGCTGGACTGGAAGAGGAGCAACTGAGACTAGAACTGGTGCCCATATGAGATGCCAGCGCTGCAGGCAGAGGATTAACCTAGTGTGCCATGGCGTTGGCCCCAATATTATCATGTTTTTAAGCCACAATAAATTGTTTAAATGAAGTGCTTAATTTCCATAAAAATCTTTGCAATAATTTGAAAGTATTTGATTATGTAACCCCTATGATTGACAGAATTCTGATAGCTGATAATTATATTTCAGTATTGATAAATTTGTCCCTTTGGGACTGGCTTAATTCACTCAGCATACTGTTTTCCAGATTCCTCCATCTTGTTGCAAATGACTGGGTTTCATTGTTTTTGACTGCTGTATAGTATTCTATAGAGTACATGTCCCGTAATTTCTTTATCCAGTCTACTGTTGATGGGCATTTGGGTTGGTTCCAGGTCTTAGCTATTGTGAATTGAGCTGCAATAAACATTAAGGTGCAGACAGCTGTTTTGTTTGCCAATTTCATTTCCTTTGGGTAAATTCCAAGGAGTGGGATGGCTGGGTTGAATGGTAGGGTTATATTCAAGTTTCTGAGGAATCTCCAGACTGACTTCCATAGTGGCTTAACCAGTTTGCATTCCCACCAACAGTGGGTTAGTGTCCCTTTTTCCCCATATCCTCTCCTGCATCTATTGTTGGTAGATTTCTGGATGTGAGCCATTCTCACCGGTGAAACCTCATTGTGGTTTTGATTTGCATTTCCCTGATTGCTAGTGATCTTGAACATTTTTTCATGTGTCTGTTGGCCATTTGGATTTCCTCTTTTGAAAAATGTCTATTGAGGTCCTTGGCCCATCTCTTAAGTGGGTTGTTTGTTTTGATCTTGTGGAGTTTCTTGATCTCTTTGTAGATTCTGGTTATCAACCCTTTATCTGTTGTGTAGTTTGCAAATATTTTTTCCCATTCTGTCAGTCGCCTCTTCACTCTCCTGACCGTTTCTTTTGCAGTACAGAAACTTCTCAATTTGATGCAATCCCAAATGTTAATTTTGGCTTTGACTGCCTGTGCTTCTGGGGTGTTTTCCAAGAAGTCATTGCCGGTACCTATATCTTGCAGGGTTTTTCCAATGCTCTCTAATAATTTGATGGTGTCAGGTCATAGATTTAAGTCTTTAATCCATGTTGAGTGGATTTTTGTGTAAGGAGAAAGGTAGGGGTCTTGCTTCATGATTCTGCACGTGGAAATCCAATTTTCCCAGCACCATTTATTGAACAGACTGTCCTTACTCCAGGGATTGGTTTCAGATCCTTGATCAAATATAAGTTGGCTGTAGATGTTTGGGTTGATTTCTGGTGTTTCAATTCTGTTCCATTGGTCTATCCATCTGTTTCTGTACCAGTACCATGTTGTTTTGCCAAAGGGACAAATATCATATGTTCTCCCTGATTGGCGACAACTAACTGAGCACCAAAGGGGAAACCTGTTGAAGTGAAATGGACACTATGAGAAACAGTGACTTGATCAGCTCTTGTCCTGACTGTTGATGTACAATGTAATACTTTATCCATTTTAGTATTTTCTCTTTGTTTTGTTCTAGTGCTATTGGTTGAACTCTGTAATTAACACACAATTATTCTTAGGTGTTTAAGTTTTAACTGAAAAGTGATCCCTGTTAAATATAAGAGTGGGAATAAGAGAGGGAGGAGATGTACAATTTGGGACATGC